CAACCATCAAACACGTCTAAAATTAGGAGAAAGTGCAAAAGGTTTGGCAACATGGCTAGTCCAGAGATATGGGGGAATGTCCCCTGAAGAAAGGGTTACGGGAAAAATCGGTCTGCAACCTGGAGGACAGGAGGGTCAGGTAACAGATAACGACATAAAAATACTGCGTGAATAGACAGGTGGACAGAGAAAAGGATGTTTCCAGAGAGGGGACACAGAAATAAGGGATCACAATTGGAAGCTGAAATGTCCGAGTCAAAAGGATGTTAGGAAGCATTTCTTCAGTCAGAGTAGTTAGGAAGTGGAATAGTCTGCAAGTATACAGTGGAGCAGAACTATAAAAGTTTTTTAAGATGGGGTTTATGATTGAAGCTCAGGGAGCATGAAAGGGAGACCTAAATAGCAGTCAGTGAAGAGGCAGGGCCAGGAGCCGAGTCTTGACCCCCTGCAACCACAATTACGTGAGAATTAGTCGAGTACGTACGTGCGCGCGCACACACACACACACTCCAATTACCTCCATTTGCATAAGGGATAAAATTAAATCAAATTACAATATCATACCTACTGCATACAGTGCTGCATACTACATACTCGGTTATACAAGACTTGTGTAAAAAACTTTTTTTCATGAGGTATAGCTATGTGAAAATCCTATATTTACAGATCTGTCCCTCCCCTGTACAGGCATGCTGGAGTCATATATGGATGGCTTTTTTTTTCTGAGCTACTAATATTTGTCACTTAATGATACCTATATTTCTTTTTTTTTTTTTTAAATTATTGCAATGTTTAAAGGTGAAAAATTGATAAGTACCAATACCATTACTTACAGTAGAGTAATAGATTTTAGTGAAATACAGTACCATAACAATCTTCCAATTCTGTATGGTATCCATGTAAACCATTGCATTGCAGATTTTTAAGGAACACACTTTAAATGTGAATTAAATTAAATACATTTCTGATGGAATAATGGTAGTCAATCTCACAGCCGTTAAGTACAGTACTGTTTATAGTAAACCAGAGTTGGCCAGCTTTAGTGAATCCTCCAACTATTCAGTTTGTTTCTAAGCAGCTCTTGGCTGTCACAACTCTTCAATCTAACAATAACATGGAGTTAATAGCCTAAATACTTTTGTTGATTTATATCATTTATTATTTTTTTTTTTTTTTGAAGTGGTTTCGTCTTATGATACATGTTCTTAAGGCTGAAAATTTACAGATTTAACCACCTTCCCAAAAGATTTGAGAAAAACTTCCCCCGATAAAATCCCATTCTCTTCTAAGTATCACACAGAATGACCTTAACAAAATGGCTAAACAGCATTTTCCATCATATCAATACAGCCTAAGAACACTAGCTTTGATTTCCTGAATAACTTACAGCAGTGGTAATTTGGTTGCTACTAACGATTATATGGGTGGAGAGATAAGTTGGATGGTATACAGTGGCAGAGTATGCCAAGGCTTCTGGCAATTGCACCCATTATTTTGCCAGTTGAAAAATGAGAGTATTTATAGAAATGCTTTCCTAAAAGCCTAACATCACTGCAATTCTTATCACTTTACAGCTTTTCAACACTGATGTTGGCCCAATAGAGGTCAAAGAAGGTAGAAGAAAATATGAAAGTCCTACTGGCTCACTGATGGCAACACGTGTTAGAGCAGCACAGATCTGCCCACCTGGTTAGAGCTGATATGAAAGACCAATAACTGGAGGCTAGGCCATCACTAAGCAGAACTGTTTCCTAATGTATTTTTAGCTATTATGCAAAATAACAAAGTGCACCATTACTAATCAGGGGATTACTGAAATTCTAATGCTTTCTCAGATTCTACAAATAAATAAATTTTATTCATATGACTTATTTTGATGAGGCGTATGAATAAAATTTATGATAATTCACATTCAATAATAAAGAAAAGTGGCATATAGCAGCACCATACTACTGAAATGGAAATAAAAATACCAATTATTCTACAATGGTGAAGCTTGACATTCTTTAGAATACTGTATTACCAATAACTAACAGAGGATCATTTGCAGATTAACACAAAGGTTTGCATCCAGATTTTTATTCTGAAAGTGCAATTAAATCTCGATTAAAGAACCAACACATTAAATACAATGAAACCAAGATATAGCTGCACTCTCAGGTTGCATATCAGTTACACAGATACAGACAGAAAAACACTATATATATTCCTTAACTACATAAACAACTTCATTCATGATAGTTGTACATTTATCTACAATTTCTGTACCACATACCACAGAAGCCTCGGATGCGGCATATGACTCAACAGCATTTATGATGCTTTAAAATGTTTTTATATTTTAAGATAAATGACCTACATAATATATGCCAGAAATATGCAACTATAAAAAGATACCAACTAAAATGGGAATGTTTAGAATGAAAACTAATGTAGATTAATCTAGAATACATCCAACCCCCTCTAAAATATGAATCCCTTAAATGGTCCAATTCTATTAGAATGTTTTTTGAAAATGAATGCCTTCACAAGTTACCAGTAAAATTTCTAAATATATTTTAAATTATTACCCATATTGTTTGCATTCTTAGTGGTCTTCCAAAATTCTAAGATGAATGGATCTTTTATGTAAAATTTTGCCATGTAACACTATTGATAATTAACAGTTGAAGCAATCCATCACTAACACCAACTGTCATTGAAGTGTCTTGGAAATGGAATTTTAAACTGTTAAAGATAGAAACATTTTAATAACACTGATAAGAAATTTGAATGGTAACAGCAGAGAATTTAGTTTCTGCATACCAACACTATAGTGGTGAGGTTCCTAATAACTTAAGTCATTAGCAATATTTTGCCTCTAAGTTGGGTCTTCTGAATCATAACAAATCGAGCCTCTTGGGTCATCTTCAATACACTGGAACTGCTTCCTCAGTACGATTGAAAAAAACGAAAATTAACAATGTACAAAACATCTTTGAAATAAATTTATATAGGCAGCTGGAGTATAGTATTAAAATATAATTCCGAATTCTACCAATCAAATGCACTAGCCAATATAAATTAAGTCAAAAAGCACCTATCTTCAAGTATGTTCACATTACAGATATTAAAAAATTTGAAAAAACCATCCAGCAATTAAGTAATCTAATAAAACAGTTTTATGCAAGATACCAATTTTCAGTCATTATACAGACTATGCCAATAATCATGGTCATTGCTGCCAAGACTAAGCAACTAGATTACGTCCTGCTTACCACAATTCTACCAAGTTTTATCTTTTCAACAGTTAAAATATTAAGAAATAAACGAAGGGCAGAATCCTTTCAGGCAAGAAGAATGAGCTCATTTGGGACTTCATATCCAGTTGTGCACAAAACTGGATACAATACCTGTCAACCCTGCCTACACATCTGTGGTCATATGTTTCTTCAAATGCAAAGCATTTAATTCTGAGTCATTCAGACTCCAAAGGTTTAAATTAAAGGGTACCTTTAAAGAAAACTGCATATCACAGAAAATGCCCTGATCCTGTAACCCTATGAGCCTCATTATAATCAGTTTCAAACAAAAGCAGCAGCACTGCCCCACATCAACAAATGGGAGAGGCTTTAGTTTTTGTTTTCCCAAAATAAAGGAAAAGTAATTTATCAAAAATAGTTTTTCAAAGTATGACCTTAAATATATTAGAATTCACTTAAACAGATTATGGCTGTTTGCTTAGATTTATTTGAACTTTTAGCAATAAATTTTTTTTGAAGAAAAAAAAAAAAAAAGTTTCATTCGTGAAATGGACATGCATGGATAACCAAGTCTAAACATAGATAACAAAAAAATCTTTAATACATCTTTCAATCAAAACAATGGAAATATGCATTGAATACACATGTACGTAAGATTGTGCCACATTAAATCTAATAACAATGTGAGCGATGAGTCAAAACTAAAAATCCACTCCCAGTATTAAGATATTACCTGCAGTGCCTATTAAGGTTAAAAAAAAAAAAAAATACATTTCATCTATAAGAGCAGATCAAAAATTTAGGTTACACAAGTGGTGTTACACTGTACCTGGTGTCATCAAATTGTAAACCCAGTAAATACACATTTATATTGTGAAGGTCTTTATTGGTACATTTCACCCATGAGTGGCTTTTATCAAGTACACAGAACAAAAAGCAAACTGCAGCTTTTTTAAAGGGGATCTGGGGGAAGAGGTCAAGTGTAGCTTTTAAAATGAGTTGACAAATGTACCAGTACATTTTTTTTGAAGCCACATCTGGCCACCCATCCTAAATGCCCTATGCAAGCCAGTAATTTTTCTCATTGTTCAAAGTACTTGATAAAGTCCACTCATGGGTGAAACGGTTTACCAACAAAGACCACCCTGCATTGTGTCTACTTACCACTTGTCAGCATAAGGCTTTTTCAAACGCGATGGTAAACTTACTCAGGGGCCTAGTCCCAGCAAACGTGGCAGGCAACTTCTTTAAACTGCATTTTATCAGTCCAATTCACAAGCCAAGGCTGTGCAAAAGTTAATCATTATACAATACCCATATCTATCCTGATTACTGATGACACACTGTACATGTTGTCCACCCATGTGAGGATGATCATCATCCTCGTCGTAGTATTGACCTCTGTTACCACCCATACTAGGCGTTTCCTCAATATCTGACATTTTGACTTCTTCTGCATCTTCTGGCAGTGCTGGTGCTGCAGGGCGTCCTCCCAAAATTGCTTTTCCCGTTCCTGCGCAAGCAAGCTAATTTTATTCTCTTTGCCAATAACAACTAGAAGTTGAAAAGTAATGAAGGAAAGAAATGCAAAGCAAACTCTTGTTGTGACATTTCATAAAGTCACTGATAAAACTCTACATAAAGTGAAAATAAATGTCTTAAGAAAGATAAAGGAAACAAAAAAGAAAAAAGAAGCATACAAACTTTTTTTTAAACTCAACATACATACGGTAATATTAAATTTAACTTTCCTTTAGTTTTACCTTCGGAGGCAAATAAGTTATCTGGGAATTCAACTTCTATACGAACATAAAGATCTCCCTTTCAAATGGATTTTTGTGAAATGGCATTCCTTCCTTTTTTATACCACGTACACACCCTATAAAGGAAAATCCTAGTTGAGATTTTGAACTTATGTAAAAAAAAACCAAAGTTTTGCTGTAAATAAATAGTAAAACCATACCACGGCGGGGATAGAACCCCGATCAGAGAGTCTCAAAAATTTCCCAAACCCTCACGTTAGCCACTGGACCAGCAGCCACAAAAAGATTCGTCCAACTAGGTATATTTCTACACCATAGGAAGGTTAGCATAGGCACCACTGACCACCTTCCTATGGTATAGAAATATACCTAGTTGGACGAAACTTATTGTGGCTAGCTGGTCCAGTGGCTAACTCAACGGTCTGGAGTTTTGAGACTCTCTGATCGCGGGTTCTATCCCCACCCGTGGTATGGTTTGTTTGCAATCGCGCCATTACGATTTCGTGAGTCAAGTTAAATAATAGTACATCAGCGAACATTCCATAATAAGCCCTTCATTTAACAGACTTCAGAAATATGGAAATAAATTCTACTGGGTTGATAGATTTGGAACAATGGTCGAAGTCTTTTGGTGGCAGAACTGTTCATTACTGCTACTACCACAGCAAAATAATCTTTTCTCTATCCACCATAATGGCCATAACTGGCCACCAGCTACCCCCATTAGTCTGTTAAATAGAGGGTTTACTGTACTTGTTCCTTCCTCCTTCAACCTTTACTCTCAAACAGTATAAAAACTATTGTAGATACATGGTTCAGAGAACCAACAAGTTGATGAATTAATACACTTTGGCAACACTTGGGTGGCTTTATGGAGGAAACATTTTGCCATGCAGTGGCTTCATCAGTCCTAAACAATGAAGAATGACGAGTTTGAGGTAATCAGTCCCTGATGAAGCCACTGTGTGGCAAAACGTTCCCTCAAAGATATCGAAGTGTTGTACATGTGTCTAATTTGTCAAAAAACTATTAAACCATGCATGCACTGCACTAATTTGAAATCCAAACAAGAAAATGATGATCTATTGTCAGTGTCTATTCTAAAATTTTGTTATTTCACTTTCACAGGGATTCAGGAAAACCAGCAGGCCAGACTAGAGTCCTGGAAATGGGAAGTACAGTGCCTGCAACTCTGAAGGAGGGGTTTTAATGTTGCAGTTTTATAACTGTAGTGTAAGCACACCTTCAGCAAGATAGTGATGGAGTGATTGATGAGAAAAGTGTTTCTTTTTTCAGGCCACCCTACCTCAGTGTGAAAAGGCCAGTGTGTTGTTAAAAAAATATTTTCATATAATTTTAAGCTGACCACAATGAACAGCTTGGAAGAACAAGCAAAAATGCTACAGGACAGATACACCAAAAATCAGAGGAGAAAGTAGCAGACAACTATACACGATTTCAAATGTGGATAATACAATTTATGGGGTTGAGGCCTCATTTGTTAATTAACAGTAAAAGACATGATGACCCAAGAGTTGGAGCCTTCTCCACCCAGTGGAATACAGTTATTATAGTACTGAAGATAGTGATGAAGACTTGAGTTATATTAATATGAAGACACAGTGTGCTGCTGCCAGGAGGAAAGAAGAGTGATTGGTGGAATGATGAAGTAAAGGGTGTAATAAAAGAAAAAAAAGGTAGCTTATGAGAGGTTTTTACAAAGCAGAAATGTTATAAGAAGAGCAGAGTATATGGAGAGTAAAAGGAAGGTCAAGAGAGTGGGGAGAGAGTGCAAAAGGAGAGCAGATGATAAGAGTGGGCGAGGCACTGTCAAGAAATTTTAATGAAAACAAGAAAAAAAATTTTGGAGTGAGATAAACAAGTTAAGAAAGCCTAGGGAACGAATTGTTATGTCAGTTAAAAACAGTAGGGAAGTTAGTAGATGGGGAGCTGGAGATATTGGCTAGATGGCGGGAATATTTTGAGGAACTTTTAACCCTTTCAGGGTCCCCAGGCCCTCTCCCAGACTTGTTCTCAGGGTTGCACATATTTAAAAAAAAAATTATTTTTCTTACGAAAAGATAGAGAATCTTTTCCCGATCATAATGACACCAAAAGTATGAAATTCGATGGAAAACTTACGGAATTATGCTCTCGCGAAGTTAGCGGTCTCGACGATGTTTATGCATCGGCAATTTTGCTCACTTTGAGCCCTATTTTCGGCCCATTCCAGTGTACTAGTTGACAAAAATCATAACTATTTCGCTAGAACTCCATTTTTTCTATCGAATGAGTACAAGAAACCACCCATTTACTGATTTCAACTATCCAATACAGTGGTCAGAATTTAGCAATTCTGCCAATTTCACACAAATTTCAAAAGATGCCAATTTCCAAATAGGGTCCAGAATAAACAAGATAGACATTCCTGGCACTAAAATAATATTTCCTCTGTTCATTAGTCACATGCCCACGCCCCTCTTACATTCTTTTGCTTTCCACTTTGAATTTTTATTCTCACAAAAAATAGAAGATTTACTGTTATGCAGACTACTGCATTAGTATAGAAATGATATAAATAATATTGGTGAACTTGTGAAAGAATATTAGACTCACCAGTTGACGTGCATTGGACACTTAGCATGATTTGTTTACTTTTGAACTTTGGTAAAAATCGAATATTTCTGCTACTTTGAGCTAAATGTCAAAGTACTTTTCATTGTAAAACCAGTCAAAATCCTCTCAATTTCTGTAATACATCTTCCATTCTATAAAATAAGACCAGGAAAACTAGAATACAACAATAAATACCATACGAAAATACAGTGCAAAGTTGCTGTTGTAATCCAAAAACACGGTCAAAGTTTTTTTTCTCATTACGCACTGTGTGCTGCAGGATTTTTTATATACTGTGCACACTGACCACATAGACCCAGTCTTTCATATGTAGGCCTACCAGCTTTCTCTCACTAGATTTTAGGGCACTACAATTTAGGTGTACTAGTACGTCAAAAACCCTGGTGCGTAAGCCGTACTAGTACGGCTGAAACCCTGAAAGGGTTAAATGTCGACGAAGAAATGGAGGCAGTCATTTCATGCACTCGCAAGGGAGGTATAACATCTTTTAGGAGTGAACAAGAGCAGGATGTGAGTGTGGGGAAGGTGCACAAGGCATTACATAGAATGAAAAGGGGTAAAGAAGCAGGAACTGACAGGAGCATGACAGAAATGTTAAAAGCAAGGGGGTATATAGTGTTGGAGTGGTTGGTATTTAGGGATTGGCAGAGAGCATATTTTTATTTATTTATTATCACACTGGCCGATTCCCACCAAGGCAGGGTGGCCCGAAAAAGAAAAACTTTCACCATCACTCACTCCATCACTGTCTTGCCAGAAGGGTGCTTTACTCTACAGTTTTTAAACTGCAACATTAACACCCCTCCTTCAGAGTGCAGGCACTGTACTTCCCATCTCCAGGACTCAAGTCCGGCCTGCCGGTTTCCCTGAACCCCTTCATAAATGTTACTTTGCTCACACTCCAACAGCACGTCAAGTATTAAAAACCATTCGTCTCCATTCACTCCTATCAAACACGCTCACGCACGCCTGCTGGAAGTCCAAGCCCCTCACACACAAAACCTCCTTACCCCCTCCCTCCAACCTTTTCCCAGGGGGCCCACCCCTACCCCGCCTTCCTTCCACAACAACTGATACACTCTTGAAGTCATTCTGTTTCGCTCCATTCTCTCTACATGCCGAACCACCTCAACAACCCTTCCTCAGCCCTCTGGACAACAGTTTTGGTAATCCCGCATCTCCTCCTAACTTCCAAACTACGAATTCTCTGCATTATAAATTTACACCACACATTGCCCTCAGACATAACATCTCCACTGCCTCCACCTTCTCCTCGCTGCAACATTCATCACCCATGCTTCACACCCATATAAAGCGTTGTAAAACTATACTCTCATACATTCCCCTCTTTGCCTCCCAAAGGGCAAAGTTCTTTGTCTCCACAGACTCCTAAGTGCACCACTCACCCCTTTTCCCCCTCATCAATTCTATGATTCACCTCATCCTTCATAGACCCATCCGCTGACACATTTCCCCTCCCAAATATCTGAATACATTCACTTCCTCCATAGTCCTCTCCCTCCAATCTGATATCCAATCTTTCATCACCTAATCTTTTGTTATCCTCAACCTTACTCTTTCCTGTATTTACTTTTATATTTTCTTCTTTTGCACACCCTACCAAATTCATCCACCAATCTCTGCAACTTCTCTTCAGAATCTCCCAAGAGCACAGTGTCATCAGCAAAGAGCAACTGTGACAACTTCCACTTTGTGTGTGATTCTTTATCTTTTAACTCCACGCCTCTTGTCAAGACCCTCGCATTTACTTCTCTTACAACCCCATCTATAAATATATTAAACAACCACGGCGACATCACACATCCTTGTCTAAGGCCTACTTTTACTGGAAAATAATTTCCCTCTTTCCTATGTACTCTAACTTGAGCCTCACTATCCTCGTAAAAACTCTTCACTGCTTTCAGTAACCTACCTCCTACACCATACACCTACAACATCTGCCACACTGCCCCCCTATCCACCCGGTCATATGCCTTTTCCAAATCCATAAATGCCACAAAGACCTCTTTAGCCTTATCTAAATACTGTTCAATTATATGTTTCACTGTAAACACCTGGTCCACACACCCCCTACCTTTCCTAAAGCCTCCTTGTTCATCTGCTATCCTATTCTCAGTCTTACTTTTAATTCTTTCAATAATAACTCTACCATACACTTTACCAGGTATACTCAACAGACTTATCCCCCTATAATTTTTTGCACTCTCTTTTGTCCCCTTTGCCTTTATACAAAGGAACTATGCATGCCTCTGTGCCAATCCCTAGGTACCTTACCCTCTTCCATACATTTATTAAATAATTGCAACCAACCACTCCAAAACTATATCCCCAACTGCTTTTAACATTTCTATCTTTATCCCATCAATCCCGCTGCCTTACCCCCTTTCATTTTACCTACTGCCTCACGAACTTCCCACACACTCACAACTGGCTCTTCCTCACTCCTACAAGATGTTATTCCTCCTTGCCCTATACACGAAATCACAGCTTCCCTGTCTTCATCAACATTTAACAATTCCTCAAAATATTCCCTCCATCTTCCCCATACCTCTAACTCTCCATTTAATAACTCTCCTCTCCTATTTTTAACTGACAAATCCATTTGTTCTCTAGGCTTCCTTAACTTGTTAATCTCACTCCAAAACTTTTTCTTATTTTCAACAAAATTTGTTGATAACATCTCACCCACTCTCTCATTTGCTCTCTTTTTACATTGCTTCACCACTCTCTTAACCTCTCTCTTTTTCTCCATATATAGTTCCTTTATATAAAGGGAAGGGGGACAAAAGAGATTGTAAAAATTTTAGGGGAATAAGTTTACTGAGTATACCAGGAAAAGTGTATGGTAGGGTTATTATTGAAAGAATTAGAGGTAGCGGAAATGTTAAATATTTGCCGATGTTCAAAAGCAAACAAATGACCTCACACGTTTAATACACACCAGCTGGCGAGTAATATACGTTCACAAATGTGGTGATATGATTTATATAATTACGGTATTACAATATTGCATAACAATAAATCTTCTATTTTTAGGTTTGAATAAAAATTCATTATGTGAATAAAAAATCAAAATGGAATTCATCTGTAAAGCCTCAAAACATAACTAATGAACAGAGGAAATGTTAGTTTAGTGACAGGAATGCCTGCATTGCTTATTCTGGACCCTATTTTGAAATTGGAATATTTTAAACTTTGCATTAAACTGGCCAAATTACCATTTTCCAATCACATTATTTTGTAGTTGAAACAGTTGACGTGGCAATTCCTTGTGCCCAATCAATAGAATAGAAGTAATACTAGTGAAACAGCTAAGAATTTGGTCGACTGGAATAGTGTAATTGGCCTAAAATGGGAGTCGAAGTCGGCAAAATCGCCGATGCGTAAATATCGCTGACACATCAAAATTCGCGAGAGCGTAATTTCGTCAATTTTCCACCAAATTTCATATTTTTTGTTTTGTTACCTTCAGAAAAAGATTCTCTACCATTTCACAAGAAAAAATATTTTTTTTTTTTAATTCTTGGTTAAAAGATAAATAATCTGTTGTCACGGTTACTTTTTGTCAATGACAGTGTTTATGGGAGACTGTATGTGCTCAGATATTAGGGAGCGGACTTGTCAGCTGACAGGTCTAAGAAAAATGAGGTGAACCACAGATCTGACGAGGGGAAAAAGAGGGAAAGGGGATGCATTGAGGATCTATGGAGGCAAACAGGGAAATGTACCAAAGTAGTGGTAACAACACTGTTTTATGGGTGTAAAGCATGAGTTGTAAACACTGTTGCAAGGAGGCTGGAAGCAGTGGAGATGCGTGGTGTATATATTATGCAGAGAATTCACAACTTGGAGATTAAGTGGTAGTGAGGGGTTACTAAATGTATTTAGATGACTGAGAGGGGGTTATTGATGATGGAGCAAAATCAGATGACTTTGAGGGTAAATAAATTTGTACGAGGGAATAAGAAACTGGGGGTGTCCTGGGAAAGGTTGGATGGATAGGATGAATTAGGTTTGTATGCAAGTGGCTTGGACATCCAACAAGCATCCACGTTAAAAAAAAAACATATTTGAATCAACTTTATTATCCACATTTTTATAATTAAGTGCTAAACCCATAAGGGTAAAAAATTCAAAAACAGTTTCTGAATACTAGATGTGAAAACTGCACCATTTCATTAACTGAAGCTAATGATAATGCCTCAAGAAATCCGATTAAAAAAAACAAAATGGTTTTAACTTACCTGGAACTAAAACTGACCCAGGTGGGTGTTTGATGAGGAGATTCCTGCCATCTAAATGTTTAACTACTCTAGAGAACCCACATAATGCCTCCGTGAGTGTGATAGTTTGTTTCATCATGAGATCAGAACCACTACGCTGGAAAACCTCATGTGGTTTCTCCTGAAATAAAAAACTAATTCAGAAGAAAGTACATTTTAACATCAAGCCATACTATATAGAAGCTTGATAAACCATACCCCGGCCGGTATGACACGATTATTTGCAATCGTGTCATTACGATTTCTTGAGTCATAGAAGCTTGATATTGTCTATATCCAAGCAAAACATGAAAAAACCTTACAAATTAATAATTTTACATATGTACTAAAATTTTTAATACAGTGGACCCTCAACATTCGATAATAATCCGTTCCTGAGAGGTATCGAATGTCAAAAATAATGAAAGGCAAATTAATTTTCCCCATAAGAAATAATGGAAATCAAATTAATCCGTGCAAGACACCCAAAAAAAATGAA